CTGGGCTCCACGCAGCCTCCTTAAAAAAATAAAGAAATACAATAAAGAAGTAAAAATAAATAAAATTTAAAGAATTAAAGGAAAAGCGTTTTTTGTCCATTTTGGTCACTGTGCTGCCCGGCCGTCTGAATTCATGAGTGACTGTGGCAGGTGGCGCAGATGGAGGGGAAAGGCTGGTTCTGATGCTGCCTCCCATCCTGGCCCTGCCTTCCACCGTTTCGGTGACTGAGCCATTGTTTCTGTGATTTTACCTCCCAGCCTCAGTGTCCCCGTCCTGTCCCCGCCCCCGCCCTGTTAGATGCCGCTGAGCTCTCCCCAGGAGGGTGGCTGTGGCTGGCTCCAGCTGGGCTCAGGCTTGCCCTTGTGCTGGTCTTTGCAGGCTGCATGCAGGGCATGGTGCCCTACCTGCCTGAGCTGATCCCGCACCTCATCCAGTGCCTGTCGGACAAGAAGGCCCTGGTCCGCTCCATTGCCTGCTGGACGCTGAGCCGCTACGCCCACTGGGTGGTCAGCCAGCCACCCGACATGCACCTCAAGCCTCTGATGACAGAGCTGCTCAAGCGCATCCTGGATGGCAACAAGAGGGTGCAGGAGGCAGCCTGCAGGTGACCTTCGACACCTGGCCCCACAGCCCCCACCCCTGCCCCACCGGCTGCCTTCTGGGAAGTGATGACAACTCATGACCCTTGACATCATGCTGATTTCTCACGTATTCGTACTGGCTGATCCCAGGGGCATGCCTCCCCCCTCCCCCCGCCCCAGGCCCAGCCCCACCTGTGGCCACCCACTAAAGCCCTTACCCACTCCAGTGCCTTCGCCACCCTGGAGGAGGAGGCCTGCACAGAGCTGGTGCCCTACCTCAGCTATATCCTGGACACCCTTGTCTTTGCCTTTGGCAAGTACCAGCACAAGAACCTGCTCATCCTCTACGACGCCATCGGCACCCTGGCCGACTCGGTGGGCCACCACCTCAACCAGCCGGTGAGACCCCACAGCATCTGCCTCTCTTCAGCCTCATGCCCCTCTGCATCCAGTGACCTGGCGGTGACCCGGTGTTGCACGCCAGGGACATGGCCATGACCTCAACAGGCAGGCAGACCCTGCCCTCGCCCTGTTCCCAGTCTAGTGGGGGAGACAGACAGTTTTGAGACAGCGTGTTAAGTGCTGTGCTGGGGAAGCTCAGGGGCCTGCAGGAGTGGCCGATCGGGGTGGGCAGGGCTAGGGATGTAGAGAAGGGAATGGATAAGACGGGCCTGGAGATCTGGCTGGATGGCAAGGCCTCGGAGGGCCCCATGCGCCCCAGCAAGGAGATCAGACCTCTTCACTCAGGCAGTAGGTGCCTCTGAGTCACAGGGAGCCCCCCTGGTGCCAGGCTGCCCCCCCATCCCTGGGAGCCCCAACTTCATACTCCCTCTCCAGGAATACATCCAGAAGCTGATGCCTCCGCTGATCCAGAAGTGGAACGAGCTCAAGGATGAAGACAAGGACCTCTTCCCTCTGCTGGAGGTGGGTGGGCTCCCAGACCTCTCCCAAAGCCTTGCTCCACCCTTCCCGAATTCACCTCTCTTGCCCTTCTCCCGACCAGTGCCTGTCATCGGTGGCCACTGCCCTGCAGAGTGGCTTCCTGCCCTACTGCGAGCCCGTCTACCAGCGCTGTGTCACCCTGGTGCAGAAGACTCTGGCCCAGGCCATGGTGAGCATCTCACCACCCCTGCCCCACCGCCCGCTCTTCGGTGGCTGCCCTCGCCCGGGCCCACTGCCCTTACCTGCCCGCCCACCCGCCCCATATGTGCCCAGATGTACACCCAGCACCCTGAGCAGTACGAGGCCCCTGACAAGGACTTCATGATTGTGGCGCTGGACCTGCTCAGTGGCCTGGCCGAGGGCCTGGGTGGCCACGTGGAACAGCTGGTGGCCCGCAGCAACATCATGACGCTGCTCTTCCAGTGTATGCAGGTGGGTGGGCCCCTTGCAAGCCCTCCGACTGCAGGGAAGCCCTCTGGCAGCCCGTGTGGGCCACCCTGGGGTGACTCGGGGCCCTGGTGGTGCCCAGAGGACATCTGGAGAAAGGGACCCACCAGGGGCGGGGGGGAAGCTTGTATTTCTTTTAAAAAGTGATTTAAGTGAGATGTGAGTCAAATCTTATTGAATAAGCTAACAATGTAGAAAATTAAAAAGAGAAGCGAGGGGCCCCTGGCCGGCTCAGTCGGTGGAGATTGTGACTCTTGATCTTGGGGTCGTGAGTTGTAGCCCCACGTTGGGCATGGGAATTACTTAAAAAAAAAAAAAAAAAATCAGAAGAAGGAAACGTGAAAGCAGAAGCCCTTGTAGCTTTACACACGTGCGTGCCCAGTGTGTTAGGATGGTTAGGCCTGCTCCCTGCCATAGCGGTACCCTGAGCAGGGCAGGGGTGCTGCTATGGCTCAGTGTGCCCCGAGTCCCAGATTTACAGATGGGGCCCGTGATGGGAAGTGACAGGGTCAGGCCATGCCCCAGGGACTGCTCCCCCAGCTACCCTGCCCTGAGGGATTAGTTGGGACTCCAGCTGGTTGGGGGGCGGGGACTGACCCTGCTCTGACCCCCTCCCCCCAGGACTCAATGCCTGAGGTCCGGCAGAGCTCCTTCGCGCTCCTGGGAGATCTCACCAAAGCCTGCTTCATCCATGTCAAGCCCTGTATCGGTAGGACACCCATCTTGTCATGATCTCATGATGCCAGCTCTGGCCTCAGATGATGGAGAAATGGTTTTGGGAGGACAGTGACCAAACTGGGTTGTATTCGTACTGTCTGATGGGGTCTGCCCGGCCAGGTTCAGGAGCTCACCCTGGCTGGCCCTCCTGCTCAGCACTCCTCCTTCTCCTCACCAGCTGAGTTCATGCCCATCCTGGGCACCAACCTGAACCCTGAGTTCATCTCTGTCTGCAACAATGCCACCTGGGCCATTGGCGAGATCTGCATGCAGATGGGTGAGTGCCCTGCACCTCGCCCCTCGCTGGCCTGTTCCCCGCTGGGGGCAGGACCTGGGCTCCGCCTGACAGGTTCCTGTAAGAGAGCCCTGGGGCTTCTTGAGGATCGCTGCTGTTGGGTGTGCAAGAAGACATCTCTGAGTCGTTTCCTCAGGGATCCTGCCAAATGGCTGAAAGGGCACTTATGGTTGGTTCTTCTAAAGAGGCCGAACAGGAGGCCTATTCTGATTGGATTGTTTGTGATCTCCCACCCCGTGCAGTTGGCTGAAAGGTCCACTGGGATTGGTGGGGAGATTTTGGCCGCTTCCTCCCTTCTCCCCCGCCTCCCCTCGGGAATCTGGGTAATGTTATCTAACCCTGGTGTTGAGCAATGACTTCAAGGAAGCTTCTGGTGTTTGGAAGGTGTGGGTCTGTCCCTGGTTGGCCACGGGTCCTGAGCCGGGCACCAGCTGGAGAATGTTCTTTGTTTCCTCACTGGTTGCAGTTGGCCAATGTCTGGATGCAGCTGGGGGTCAGCATAGGTGGTATGGGCTGTGCGGGGCTCTGACTAACTGGTCCCCCAGGGGCAGAGATGCAGCCCTACGTGCAGATGGTCCTCAACAACCTGGTGGAGATCATCAACCGGCCCAACACACCCAAGACGCTGCTGGAAAACACAGGTGGGCACCAGGCCTGAGCAGTTGCTGTCCCCTTACCTGGGATTGGGCTTCCCAGCTGGGAGGGTAGTGGTGAAGAGACCTTGGGAAAGAACCAGGGAAGGCGTCTGGAAAGACCTGGCAGGGGTTGTGGGAAGAGCCCTGGGGAAGATGCCTTGGGGAGACCCTGGTTGGGCCTATTCCCTTGGGGCCCACGGGGCGGGGCTGGTGCCTTGTGCCAGAGGCCCCGCCACGTACCGTCCCGGGGCCGCTCGGGGTTGCAGGTCGCCTGACGAGTCCCTCTGCCATTCCAGCCATCACCATCGGCCGCCTGGGCTACGTGTGCCCACAGGAGGTGGCACCCATGCTGCAGCAGTTCATCCGGCCCTGGTGTGTGCCCCCCCGCCCCGTGTGGGGCCTGTGTGTCTGGTGGGCTGGGCGGCAGGGCGGGGGTGGGGGAAGGGTGGGCCTGACCTGTTCCCTTGTCTGTGTCCACCCCCAGATGCCCGTCCCAGCCCGTCACCTGCTGAAACACCCCCCCTCCACCCCACGTAGATAACGTGTCCCACCCCAGCCCCGCTGACCTGCTGCTCCCCACTGCCCCCCACAGATGCCCATCCTGCCCCAGCCCCAGCAGCTGACTGCCTGCCGCTCACCTCCCCCACAGGTGCACGTCCCTCAGGAACATCAGGGACAATGAGGAGAAGGACTCGGCCTTCCGAGGCATCTGCATGATGATAGGCGTCAACCCCGGGGGCGTCGTGCAGGTTGGGGCAGCCGGGCTCAGAGGGAAGGCGCTGGGGCAGGGCTTGGGCGGCCCCTCACACAGGACCTGTCACATTTCAGGACTTTATTTTCTTCTGCGACGCTGTAGCCTCCTGGGTGAGCCCGAAGGATGACCTTCGGGACATGTTTTATAAGGTGAGCTCCTGGGAAGCAGCGGCGGCCGGCAGGGGGGCGGGGCGCGCCTCTGGGGAGAGAGGCTGCCTTCAGACGGCTCCGCGCTGGGGCGTGCCTCACCCCTCTCCTCCCCCCAGATTCTCCACGGCTTCAAAGACCAAGTTGGGGAGGAGAACTGGCAGCAGTTCTCAGAGCAGTTCCCGCCTCTGCTCAAGGAGAGGTTGGCTGCCTTCTATGGGGTCTAGATGAGCGTCACGACTGCCAGGTGAGGAGGCTGCGCGCCGGCAGGCCATTGCTGTTGGGGGGGGCGGTGCAGGCCCTGACCCCCACCTCTCCCCACAGGTTTCTGTCTGCGTCGTTGGAGGGGTTGCTGGGGAGCGCGCTGCGTCCTGAAGTCGCCGTGCCCTGGTCGAGGGGGGTTAGGGAGGAGTGAGCGGGACCCAAATCCAGACGCCTTCCCCGTCCACCTACCTGCCATGGGTGTGTGTGGCCTGGCGGCCAACGGGCAGGTGGGTGGGGTCTCCACACTCATCCTACAAACGGGAGGGGGGGGTGGGACTTCTTGGCAGCAAGGGCCCTTTGTTCTCAGTCGGGGTCACCTCAGGCAGCCCACTTGGGCCAGCCTCGCGGGAGGGAAGATTCAACACGGCCGAGCAATTCCGGCTCAGGCTGAGGCAAGGGGAAAGCAGGCGGGGAGGGGGGTCCTTGTAGAGACACGTACGCTTGCACGTACACCCGCGGACACACGCATGTACGGCGCTGCAGCCTGCCAGGCTGGGCCGGTCGCCCCACCATTTCCCCGACTGCATGGAGACAGTAGAATTAGTGAACCCCTGAGTTAACCCGTGAGGCCTTCCGTGTAACCTGCATCTAGAGTTTAAGAAGCTTCTGCTGTTTTGCCGGCATTGGTGACTGGGGAGGGCTGGGTGGGTTGGGGGCCTCCGCCGGGCCCCTGGGGCGGGGGAAGAGGACGGCCATCTCCAGGCCGCCAAGTCAGCACACGCACGCTTCGGGACCTGCTCTGCACACTTCCTGCCAGCTCGGTGGCGGCCACAGCCTGGGTGGCCCCCTTGCTCGGTCCCAGCCAGAAGAGCGGGGACGGCCAGAGGGGCTGGGTCTGGCCAGAGGTTGCCCTTTCTTCTCCCCTCCCCC